CCAATAACTGTGGATTAAATTTTAAAAATCTTTAAAACTCCATCTACCAATAACCCCCTAGATTTTGAGTCGCTAAATTCAATATCCGAAGCGTTGAGCTTTAAATTCAGCAATTGGTGCATTGAGCTATGCCTAGCTAGTGAACTTATGGAAAACTCGCATGGGTGGGTTATGTTATTATATATGTTTCTTAAACAATTGAAAAATAAATAAAATCAATTATATACGGAAACATTTCACCAAATGCAAGTTCTTTTGAGGGAAACAACACCACGAGACAAGAGAGTATACACGCCTATCCTTTGGGAGCCAGAGACGCATTGAGTAATCAAACCAGTATTGAACTGTTTACAAACAAATCATGTCCATGTGCAGACATACCCGTTCTTATCGGCCGACGCCAATGGTTTCCCCATCCCGCTCCAAGAACAACACAGTATTGGAGATGTTTGCTCCTTGAGAATGCTCACTATATTGCCTTTAGACATAGACCAAACATGGACTGTTCCATCCGCAGATCCTGCAGCCACATAATCATCATCCGGACTTATACATGAACGGCTCCAATTCGATGCCAATCTGTTCCCTGATGATCTCAATGTCCCACATATTTCCAAAGTCCGGGTATCAAATACATTATGCACGTTGTCTCTCCCGCTCGTCAGTATCCTATTTCCATTCCGGGACAACGATACCGAGGTCACAGCAGAAGAATGTCCAGCTACTTCAGACAGAAGCTTCCCCGTTTGAATATCCCATAACCTAAGATTCCCATCCATGTGGCCTGAGAATACTGTAAGCCCATCTATGCTGAGGCAGATTGCATTGCAGTTACTGGTAAAGAGTACGGTGTTAGTGCAGTAACCTTTCTGCATATCCCAGAGTTTTATGGTACGGTCATAAGCTGCACTAACGACATGTCTGCTCGAAAATTTGCTCACATCCACAGCACAAACCTTATCAGTGTGTCCTGTGAGTGTATGGCGTACCCTACCCGAGTTAACATCCCACACAAACAAATTGTTCGAGCTGGTTGCTGCGATCAGGGATTTATTGTCGTGGGTAATGGCTAGATCAAGTATATTCCCAAGGGAACCGTGTAAGCTTTTGATTAAAGACCCACTATTGGTGTCCCACATTTTTACTGCTCGGTCTTGGCCACCAGTAAACAAAGTACCAGAGTTGTATTCAAAGAGTACTGAGCCACAGCCACCTTCGTGAGCATGGATACGGTGCCCACATGTTGAGGGAACAACTGACTCAACAAAGTGATCAGTTCCATCTTCATTGCGGCGGACAATGCCATCAACTTGCTGCCGAGCCAGAGTTTCCAAACCATTTGCCTTAAGCTTAGCTAGCATTTCTTCATAAAGAGCATTTGCCTAAGTAAGAAAAAAATAATTAAGTCCAACCTAACCAAATCGAAGCATGCGGGCAGAAAACCTCTACCATTAGAGACCACCATGAAAAGAAAGTTCCCAAGTACCTCGTTAAGACGTTCTGCATCCTGCATCTTCTGCAACATCCACCGATCAATTAACATTTGATTTTCAGACTCTGCTTTTTGAACTCTATCTGTCATCTCCTCCAGCTGAGACCGAACTTCCTTGTTTTCAGCAATAAGTAGATCCAGTGTCTTGGTCTTATCCTCCAACTCTTCTTGTAATTGTGTAGACTCCTCCCTACAGTGCAACTCTAGTTTTAAAAATAGCTCAAATTAATTCCTTACTGTTACTGCAAAACTATTCTGACCTTGTTTGTGCTAATTCCCTCTGCAGCTCATTAATCAACAACTCCTTATCTTCTAAAGAAGCCTTTGAAGTTCTGGATTCAGCTACTTCTATCACGAGTTGTTCGGACAAGCGGGATTGGGCTTTGTAACATTGCTGTAGCTCCATTTCCAGTTTTTCTGTTTTCTCCTTCCATTCTGACCCCTGCATGCAATACAGACAAACCAGATCACGACATGATTCAAATATTTGAAGGCATAAAGGTAGAAAGGAGCAAATCTACTGATATGCTGAACCAAAACAAAAGGATTCAATAGGAATTCTGAGGCGTACTATCTAATCTGAAGCAAGAATTAAACTAAACTACTTATAATTTTATACTACTTTGTGACACAACAGTTTAACAGACGAGCAGATTAAAAACCGGACAAATGAATCAAATGATGCTTTTATCAATTTCGGGGGACACAAGGAAAGGTCTCGGTAGATAAGGGAACAACATAAGCTTCTAAGAACTGCATAACCTGGAAAGGCAAAGTATATTCACAAAATCAACTGAACAAATATATTGAGAGCTACAAATGCTTTTGATTAAAGAAATGCAACGATGAACGCCAAGCAAGAAGCACAAAGATTAAAACAAGAATCTTTATTCTTCCAACTTCTAAGAAACAAAACATTCCTTGCAAAATCCCATAGTACAAATCGTATACAAGAACATTAATCTTTAAACCTCGAAAACTGAACAGGGCAATTGTTCTACTTGGATAACGAAGAGTCTATAAACGATTCTAAGTTGAAATCTGAAGCAATGGAGAAAGGTACCTGAGAGATAATAGGCCTAGAGAGAGCAGAAATCGCAGGAGCATGAGCTCCTTCTTCAAGAAGATGACGCTTCCGCAGAGCTCTCAAAGCATCCTTTATGGCTTCCATAGCTTTCTCCTCCTGTGACCTGAAAATTCCAGACGATCATCGGAATCAGTAATTTGGTTTCCGTTGAATAACAAATCTCAAAAAGGTCAGGGAACAACAGAACGAGATCGAAGCAGACTTACATTCTCGATCGGATGAAAAAGAGTCGTGGAGAGTAGGAATTAGGGTTTGAGTAGAAGAAGAGAAGGAAAGGAGAATTTGATCGATTTTGATCGGAAGCGGTAGCGACTTAAGTTCCCCCGCCGCATACGGTTCCAGC